TCTCTCTCTTGGTCAGTCTCTGCCAGTTCGGACCCCATCAACGTGTATTTATACTTAGGGTTTTTGGCTCCAATGTGCATCACTTTGCTCTTGGCCACATTGAACCCCATTTGCCATGTTGATGCCAACTCACTCATCCTCGACAGATCTCTTTGGAGTGCCTCACAATCCTCCCTGGTTCTCACCACCCTGAACAACTTCGTGTCATCTGAAAATTTAGCCACTTCACTGCTTACTCCCAACTCCAAATAATTAATGAAAAAGTTAAAAAGCATCGGACTGAGTATTGATCCCTGTGGTACCCCACTGCTTACCACCCTCCACTGAGAAAATTTCCCAGTATGCAATACTGTGTTAAATTCCAAGCTAGAATCATGCAACATCATCTAATTTGGTTGTTGCCATTACAAACTATAATTGGTAATTCCAGAAAATCTTATGTAATACAAAAATTCTCTTTTGTAAAAGCTTGAGAAATCAAGATATCTTCTTGAGTTAATGCCTGGTCTTTCAAATTCCGCATTTTAAAGGAACAAAAACACTTGGTTATACTCCAGATATGAGAGGAAATGAATTATAGCAGTTGTACCAGTGTAGAGCAGATGTTTTGGTTGGACAGGCTATTAACACTATGACTCATAATAAATCTTCACTTCCAGTAAGTTCCCAGTTTTCAGTTACAGTAGGTAGTAGGATATAGAGAAACAATGGCTTTGTGTTTTGTGCTTTGAATGTGTTTAGGTATTAATAGTTGCCAGGAATCCTTTTTTTTTTAAAGAATTGGTTATTGTTTGGTGATTTAACAGGTCAAATAAAAAGTATATTGTAAATGATATTATGAACTTTATATCACTGGAATGAATGAAAACTAGCATTTGGTTTAAATAGTGCTACTGAATATAGCATGGGAGAATTTTACTGTGTTAACAAGATAAGAGGAGGGGCCAGATTTTCATTTTTGAAATGAATTTTTGTGTAAAGTATGTAACTGTTTTTGCTTAATGAATAAAAGTGGGCACAATCCAGTTGTTCCTCAATATGACAGGACATACCAGAACACAGCGGAAGAGCAAAACATGATAGTTTTGGTCCATGGCCCTTCCAGTGAAAACTGTCCTATGCCTGAGTCTCTGAAAAGATACTTCCAGGTCAGAGTAGAAAGGTATAAGACGATTCGAGAGACCAGTGGTCTAGCACAGTATAAGGCAGATTTTATGTTTGTGTACCACGTTCAGAGTTATTGTTATCTCTGAATACCAGTTGCTTGGAGACAAATAAGAGAGGATTCTTGCCTTCATGCCCTGCTTGTTGTCTTGCCAGAAATATTTGGCCATTGTTAGAAACAGAATAGTTTGTCTGACTGAGCAGGTTGGCAAATAAATACTTGAATAGGAAGCACCATAATCTTTGGTTGGACCAGTTCTGTCTCTTCATGCATTTTCTTTAGCTCCAAAGTCATTGTGTATTCTTCACCTGGTTTATGTGTGTGTGTAAGCCTAACAATGACGATAAAAAGAAAAGAAGTTGAAATACACAATTAAATTGATTTTTAAAGCTTTGTTTTCAAATAAGCGACTCTAATGCAACTTGCTACAAACAAGTAGGTACTTGCATGTTGGTCTCCAAACTTGGCCAGTATTATTGCTGGCTTCATTCTTAGACTGTCCATTGTGAGGCTTGCACCCCCCCCCCCAAGATGGTCTCCCTGGCCTCAGAACTGGGAAGATGAGGGGGTTCCAGCATCCAGGTCCTCTTCCTTCCTCAGACTGGCCCCTCCCCCCCCCCGGTCTGAGCTCAATTTGTTACTTCCTCCTTGGTAGGTGTGGTGCGTTCCCTTTTATAGGATTTCCTGGCCCACCCCCACCTGGCCCCACTGGTTTTGATTTGGACAAATACATATCTGCCGATTTCTCCTAACTTTTCAAAACTGACACACACAATCTCAGGCACATAACTTGCCTCATGGAGACGAATTGTGCTAGTGTGTTCATGAGGTAAAATTCAACTAGATCCGCAAAACTACAGTAAAATGTACTGCAGATAAGATTTAACTGAAATATGTCATAACAAAAATTGACTTTTTAATATTTAATACCATTGACTGCCCTGACCTGGATGGTCCAGGCTAGTCGGATCTCATCAGATCACGGAAGCTAAGCAGGGTTGACCATAGTTAATATTTGAATGGGAGGCCAACAAGGAATTCCAGGGTTGCTATGCAGAGGAAGGCAATGGTAAACCACCTCTGTTAGTCTCTTGCCTTGAAAACCCTATGGGGGTCACCATAAGTTGGCTGTGACTTGATAGCACTTTACATGCACAGTACCATTGACCACATTATAACCTCAAAATCATCTATATTAGAACATGTCATCAGTGCTCCTGGTAAACATAGAAAACTATGTTTTGTTCTGGTACTTAGATGAGACCATATGAATTTACAGTTCAGTGAGCTAATAATTATATACCTTTTTGTTTAATTGTCTCCACTGCTGTAACACTAGGTCATATTATTGGGTCCCATGTAGCTCCTTGTTGGTGTTGGCAAAAGCTGTACAAATTCTCCGGTGTTTCCAAGCCCATTTTATCATAGAAGTCCAAGACTGAACCTGGAGTCTTCTGTATGCAAAACATGTGCTGTACTATTAAGCTGCGGAATGTTGTGCTGGAATATTTATTCCTAAAGTCGAGATCAGAATAAGAAGTAGCTGACCAAGAGAGCCAAGGATAGTCATCACAAACTAAGTACCAAGGGAGATATACCATGGTGAAGGTTGAGTCAAGTGTTAGAACTGTGGAGGAATCCACTCCACTGAGTGTTCTTGCTTTACTTTTCTGCTGCTACTGCTCCTCTTAGCATGTGTGAACAGAGAGGCAGGAAGCATGGCACTCTTGCTCACTATGCATGCACACTAGCACCAGGAGCCTTCCAAAAAGCAACACAAATAACAGCTTTATAAAGCTCATGAGGCATCTAAGGGTCTAGACCCAAGTATTGAAGAACGCTGCTCCAGGACATTAGTAACATTGGAATAGTAGGATGTTGTTGCTTAATTACTTCTGACCGCCCTTTCACTGAATTTACTCTTGTTACACTGACCAAAACAACAAAAATAATTACATTGTTAGATAAAGCATTCATATCATTGTCCATTCTATTACGCCTGATCTTTGGGGGCACATAGACCAGTTAAGAACCTTTGTCTTTACTTTAAAAAAAACAATCTTAAGCAGCTTAAAATTGTGATGGCAAAAAAAATGTTTCAGAATTGGAAAATATGAAGCAAGTATAAATCAAACCAAATCCCTTGTTTTTCTAATTATCATGTTTTTTTTAATGAGCTGACTCAATTTTGAGGGGAGCAATTTCTGCATAAGAATACTGTGACATGCCCACTAGCAGTAACTTGACATCTGCCATGTTCATGGCAATGACATGTAATTTATGTCAACCACGTGCAACTAAAATATGCAAATCACTCACTGCTAATGCTATATTTCCAATATGACCCTCCATGCTGAACAGTTGCCTATAGACATTTTTAAAAGGGTGAGAATTGCAGACTGCAAACCTAAACATGGCATTGGGCTCTGTCCTATTGTTATGACTGCTATAAATCTGAAATTGCCTCCTTTTATGTATGTGTGTTTCTAGGATGCAAACGAAGACCCTGGGGAAGATGTTGCTCTTCTTTCAGTCAGTTTTGAGGATACAGAAGCTACTCAGGTTTTTCCCAAACTGTATCTATCTCCACGAATTGAACAGTAAGTGTAATGCTTCACATAGTGTATTCCCGTTTTCCTGATCTGTAGCTTTACTTTCTGATGGTTTACGTAGGAGTTTTGGGTAGGATGAAACCACTTTGACTATGAATTGCCCAAAACTAGGTTGATGATTAGCATAAGCAGCTAGCTTGGGAAAGTCCTGTGTTGGTCATTCCTTCTTTAAGTGCACAGACCTTATAGAGCCAAGCCATCAGTAGCAGTACCGTAAGCAGCCTGCACTTCCCTGGAATGACGGGAACCAGAAGTGGTATCAGCATCCTCTTAGTCTGCTTAGTCTCCTTGAAGCCAGTGGGGCCAAGCCACTGCTGACATCAGTGGTTCATGGATTCATCTTGGCTTTTCTCATTAGATAGATAATGTTAAATCCTGGTTCTGTGCTCCTGTCAAATCACCACTGGTGCAAAGCAAACACATCAGCATTGCCTTAATGTCAACTTAGTAAAAGGTAAAGGTTTCCATTGCTCGAAAGCCAGTCAAAACTGACTCTAGGGGGCGGAGCTTATCTCCGTTTCCAAGCCAAAGAGCCAGTGCTGTCTGAAGATGTTTCCGTGGTCATGTGGCCAGCATGACTAAATGCCGAGATGCATGGAACACTGTTACTTTCCCACCAAAGCGATACCTATTTATCTACTTGCAGTTTCTTGCTTTCAAACTGCTAGGTTGGCAGGAGCTGTGGCCAGAGACGGGAGCTCACTCTGTCACGTGGCACTAGGGTCTTGAACTGCCAACCTACAGACCTTCCTAGCTTCTTAGCGTCTTAACCTTTAAGCCTCTGCGGCCCTAATGTCAACTTAATATTCCATTAATAACACTGAAAAAGTAATAAACAATGACCAGTCATAGCTATTGGGCAGGTGTCCAACATCCAGCACTGCAGCAGTTGTGTGAGAAAATGCCGTTGTGCAGTCACATCATAGTTGCCAGCCGCTAAAACCTCCCTCCATCCTATGCTTTCCTGTAAGCAGGAGACTTAGTTTCCTGTCTAGAGTAGTCAGTCATTGCAAAAGCATCGTTTCAGGCTGTAGCTAGTAAGTTTGTGTACCCAGCAGCATAAAGGTCTCTGTTAATTGTTCATTGTGTATACAGATACTTCCCTTTCTGCTTTGTCCATTGTTCCTCATCACCCAGTTTCTTCTGCTGCTTATGCAATCCTAATGCCTCAAGTATGACAGCAGAGTAAGATGGTCTCATTCTCTGCATTCAGGCAACTTGTTTGACCTAGGTTTCCTTGCTGGAGCCTATCAGCATCTCATGATGAGCAGTGATAGCATTGTGAGTAACCCAGCACCAGTCCTCTAATCTGCTTAGTCAAGATTGGAGAATAAAGTCTGAGGAGGTGTGGGTGTGTCACAGCCCCATAGCTAACGACTTTTTGCTCGGGGGGCCTGCCATGCAGCCTGCTGTTGCTCAATCCATTTACCACCTCACTCTCTTGGCCTGAATGCTTCCGAAAGGGGGCGACCCTTCCTGGGTGGTTCGCCTGCAACTGTAGGCTTGAATGGGTGGCCGAGTTTTGGGGAGGGTCGCTTTGCAACCATCGCGCACCTTCAGAGCCTGAGCAAAGTATTGCTTTTTGGTAAAGGAAAGCGAAACCGGTCTTTTCCCTCTGCAGCGCCACTGGTCACATGCGCCCCACTAGTGCTTGTTAAAAAGGTGGTGAAGGGCTCCCCAACCCCAGACAGACCACACCGCAAGAAGGCTCACCATGGACTTGGTTCCTGGCCAGCTGCTCCGCCTCCTGCTGCGCCTTCTGGAGTGGTCTGGCGCCCTTCTGCTCATGGCGCTGGGGGGCATCCATCCTGCGGCGAGTCCCCAAGGCAGGAGTCGCTGCCTGGCTGGTGCCCATCAGCGTCAACTACTACTTCACCCGCCGGTACAACTACATTATATGTCTGTGCGGTACTGCAGTGAGGGGTGGATAGAGAAAGGCCACAGCCAAGCCTGTCCCATGCGACCTGCTCCCAAGGCAGTGAGGAGAGGAGCCGCCTGGTTGGTCTCCAGCAGCAGAGTCTGGAGAGGGGGAGAGAGCAGGGTGCCTCCTCCTAACTGGAGTCTGGCTGGCCGTGGCAGGGAGGGAGGCAGGCAGACGCCTAACCCAGGAGGGAGGTGTGGTGGGTGGTAGGTGTCCCTGCTCAGCAGCCCTCCCCTCTCTGACCTCCCAGCAGCAGCAAGGACGGCCACCGGGGCAGCAGCAGGTGGTGCGGAGTCACCGGCTGCTGGGCTGAGGGTAGCGGACGGCGGGGGAGGCGAGGATTGGGCAGTGGCCCATAAAAATAACCGGGGGGCGGGCCCCATGTTTTCTGTGAAGAGTAGAGATCCTGCTAGAATACTGGTTTGGATGCTAACTGAACTTGCCTATCTTTTGTCCCTCTTCTTCTCTATCTGTTTTTGCCCTGGTGTCATGCAGCTGTGGCAGTACAGATGGGGTAACATAGTTGCACATCCCAGAATATTGCAAGAATATCATGTTTTTGCTGTTCTGGCACAGCTGCTGATTTGCTGAGTAAGCGCAATGCAGGGATGACCTGTATTTTGAACAAACAAGAAAGCAGTGCAACATTAAACTGTTTTTTTTTAAAAATGTTAACACAGTGCTTAATGGGGAATAAAACTGAGTTGTAAAATAATGTGTTATATGAGCATATGTGTTCATTGAATATTGTTCTTTATAAACTGACCTGTGGGAATAGAAAGAGGTTTCTTTGCTTTTTTGTATGGGAAACTGTAAGACTATCTGCTAAACTGCAGTCTAAAATCTGCAGTCTAATAAATCCAAACATATGTTAGAATATTTCCTTTTAAAATGATTGTACAATACAGTTAGCAAACAAACTTTCTAATAAACTAATTTTACTCCTAAAATGGAAACATATGGAAGGAAAAAGTCCATTGCCTTCGTTAGATTTCTCTTCTTCCATTTTTGGCATTGAGTGCATCCTTCCTATCTCCCCCACCTTTTTGTGCTTTGGTCTTGAACAGTCTGCTTTACAGCTGCTTTAGGAGAACTTCAGGCTTACAAGCACCTTAATTTAAAGATAAGTTTCCACAGGAAATAAAAGTTCTTGTTTTGCTCAACAGCTTAATAAATTAAAATTTCGAAAGAAAAGGTTACAAATTGTTAACCTGGAAGGTTTCCAGTGCCCGTAAATGGGAAGAGTATTTAGGGAAAGGAATCCGCTTGCAAAAATGTAGAAAGAAGAGGAAGAAATGTTTCAGGCAACTAATTATTCACAGTTTGCATATCTTGTGGGCATAGATTTGAACTGGGAGCTCTTTGGGAATATAAGAAATCATTGTGATCTAACTGGCTAAAAGACAGGAAGCAGAGAGTAGGACTAAATGGTCAGTTCTCACAGTGGAGAGTTGTGGATAGTGGGGGCCCTCAGGGACCCCTTTAAGTGCTTGCAGCCAGCGGGACAGGGCCCCGCACGCCTGACCTCCCAGTGGTAATGCCACTCGGCGGGCGGGCAGGGCCCTCTGGCTGCGGGCACTTAGGGATAGTGGGGCCCCTCAGGGACCTCTTTAAGTGCTCGCAGCTGGCAGGACAGGGCCCCGCTCGCCCGATCTCCCAGCAGCAATGCCGCTCAGAGTTTGGGTGGGCAGGGCCCTCCGGCTGTGGACACTTAAAGGTACTAGATTTATATGAATTCAGTTTTTCTTACCAGATAGCCTGTCAAAACACTCATGGGGAATTTATGTATCTGGTGTTGGGCTCTAAGAACAAACAAGAAATCTTGTGCATCACCCAGCCCTTGTCTCCTAACTGAACTGTTAGACATGCTGTCTGATACAGTGATGGGATCTTCCAGGCTTTTGATATTGGGGGTGGGGGTGCTAATATCCGTGCCATGTTATGGGTGCTTCTATTTTCTAAGTGGCAAACAGCCAGAGGGCTTTCTTCATTGTGACACTTTTTGAATATCTAATTCAGTGATACTTGCTCTGTGGATCACAGAAAGCCACACACATTTCCAGTTACCATCATACAAAACAGCTGTATTAATTTTTCATCCCTTGCATAAGGTCTGCACCTCAGAAAGGCTGTCAGCTTATCTGTTTCTCTGTGGGAGCTGTATCAAGACTGGCACCACTTGCCAACCACAGCCCCACAGTGCAAGAATCTTGCCCACTTTCCTGAAATATGGGGCATGTGTTTCACTGGGAAGTACTCAGTGCTCAGAAGAGCCATGGGTAGCTTGTAGCTTGGGTACAACTCCCCATGCGCCCTTCAGTCATCATCTAGAGGCTTCTTGCAGGTGCCTGGTCCCAGGATGGCTTTGTTAGCTGTAACCAGGGGAAGGGCCTTCTCAGCTGTGGCCCCCACCCTGTGGAATGCACTCTTGGATAACACCTGTGCCCTGCAGGACTTGTTTTGTTTAGGCTGGCCTTTGGAAGGTTAGTTTGAGTTGTTTTTATAAGTGGTATGTTGCTATCCACATATTTTATAATTTAATATGTTGATGTTAATATTTTATATTTGTTTTTGTTGTTTTTACCTTATTATAGTGTTTAAAATTATAAGTCGCCACAAGACCGTTTGGGCAGGGACTAAAATAAATAAATAAATAAATATCAAAGATCCACAGGTAGCTCTTGAGGTACTTAGTCAGTATCACTTATCTCACGGAAAGATACATAGCGGAGTATCTCCTTCCCTGGGTTTAGAAAGTGTTCAGAAAGATCTTCCTTTTTAAGAATGCTTTTTTGATGCCACTGTTTTACTATTTTTTATGAGTCATGCTGTATTGTTTTCATGTTTTGTTATTTTTATATGTATTTTCAAGTCATATAAAATATTTAGCAAACAAAACTTTAGTATTTGGTAAACAAAAATTTAAACCGACTTATTAAATTTTATGTCCTAATAGCAACAAGTACAGGAACTGAAATATCTGATTACAAAAAAAAATCCAGCATGATTTAAACAATATATTCAAACAAATATAAAACTTTATGTGGAAGTTATTTTTATTGGAATA